GCTGGTTGAATAGGGAAAATTTTATGGGTTTACCACTGCATGGTCTAAGATGGGTGTATATCGGTTGAAATATAACGTGTTGGTGTGGCTACTGGGTATCTGATTGAGGATCAGGTCCACTGCGGTGAAAGATCCGCAAGTCTGTCGTTCTTGTCTTCGATCGGGACCGCAACACAAAACCGTGAGCCGAGTCCCAGAGCTGCATGCATTGACAACGGCAAACTCGCAGATTTTTAACTGCGGTGGACCAGCAAAGCCTAATTTCCTCAGTCAGCTTACCTAGTTATGAATTTGTTACTAAGTAGGCCAGAATTGGCTTCATGTTGGAGTCATTTGACCATGTTTTTCTTACTAAAATTGCCCGGAAAAACTCTGTTAGCTTCGGGTTGGCATGTAGCTAACGGCCCTGCTGATCTCCAACCGTGGAAAATGAGCTGATCTGAAAGGTGAGGGTTCCCGGTCGCAGCGGTCTGGCTCCGCTAACAGTCCCATATCCATTTTAAATCTCCACAGGCGACCAGCATGAGTACAGCCTCGCACTGAAGCCGGTCGGCCGTGCGGGTGGGCTGCCCCTTGGTCCCCTGTGCCGTTCTTAGCTTCTTGGGTAAGCTAAGTTAGCTAGTATCTAGATTGGTTTCATTTGTTCCAACCTTGTTCAAAATGTAACAGCCCTACCCTCAGCTCCACCTCTTTTCCCATTTTTAGATTGTCTGGGCGTGACTCTGTGAAAAAGAATCAGTGGTGGGAACCTCCAGCTTCAGCTTTCCCCCAGCTGAGCAATGGGTGGGCTATGACCATATTTTTATATATTTGATGGTCCTGACTGACATTTTAGTTTATGAATGTTGTAACCACTGTGGGACTTTAATTCTGCGTCAGAAGTTTGTTTAAAGTCACCCCTCTGTTCATTGAGCTTCACTGGCTACAGCTAGCAGCACGCATCAAATTCAAATTTCTAACACTAGCATACAAAGTCTGAGATGGTACGGCTCCCATCTACCTGAATCCTCTTGCAAAGGCTTACGTCTCGGCCCGGGCGCTCCGGTCATCACAGGATCGTCGGCTAGCAGTGCCTACACCACGCTCAGGACAATCCAGACTCTTCTCATGCATTGTTCCACAAATGTGGAATGACGTTCCAAGCACGACCAGAACAGCAGCTTCCTTTTCAATTTTAAAGAAACTCCTGAAGACCCTGCTCCTCAGAAAACATCTTCTTAACTAGCACCCTCCCTGCACCCGTCCCCCTTCTCTACCGTCCACTCCTTGTTCCCTCCTCTCCATGATTGATGTCAAGTTGTTGTTGTTATTGTTGTTGATAGCCTCAAGGGCAACATGCCGATTATCACTCGTAAGTCACTTTGGACAAAAGCATCTGCTAAATACATAAACATAAACATAAAGAGCAAGTAACGCCTAAACTAACTTTTTTTGCTGATAACCTGTATAGATGAGTGTCTAATGGGGCTGTACACATGTGTAATCATTAGTGTGGCAGTTTAGTGCATCCTTACTCTTAAATTTAAAATTTCAGCCTAAAACCATAAGTATATCTCCATCTTCAGGTTAAAACTGCTCCACATTTATGTAGGACCAGCTGTGGTTGACGGCTAAGCTGAAATATGTGACGTTGTCAGCAAATACGTGACTGCACTGCACTGGTCTCCAGGTGAGGCAGCCGTACCTCCACCTGGCTCAGCCCCTTTTCATCTAATGATCGTGGTTAACAGGAAATCCTCCAGAATGCTGCAGAATCTGTCTGCTGTTCTCCTGAGTGGTAAGTCTTGTGTGAGTGCGTGCACGCGCTCGTTAACAGCTAGTTTTAAGATTGAGAAACTCCGACAGCGCACGCAGGGGGGTTGAGGTCTACCATGGCCTCAGTGCCGCTCTCTCGGTCCGCCAGGAGACGCCTCTTTCAGAAGCGTTTTCCTAACAGGAAGTGTGGATGAAATACATCTCCAGCCTTCACCCTCACTTTAAAGAGTAGATGGAAAAATGTTTGTATTAATTATAAGAGCGAGAGCAAAGGTTTGTTTTGTTTGATATCTTTATTTTCAACTATGGCAATAAAAAATATGACCTGGACTAGGATTAATTATATTGTTGCTATGCAAAATCAGAATTACAAGCAGGCATGTTTGTTGAATAAATGTTGAAACGGCTTGCCACAGTGGGTTAGGTCTGCTTTCACAACGATACATGGTCCATGCTTCGTCTCACAAATAGATGTCATTAACAACAAGGTGCTTTATTGAGTTGCTAGTGTTCCTATGTTTAGTGACTCAAATCTTAACAGTTGTGACATTTTCTCTGATGCGGTTTACTCTCACAAGATGCAGCCAAAGCTTAGATTTTTTTTCTGTATTTTATTAGTTTGTGAATTTGTGCAAGTGGTGCTCGCTGCAGAACCACAAAGGCGGAGCTGCACCAGAAGGTGGAGCTGCACCAGAGTCAGCCCCGCCCATTCCAGAATCAGCCCCGCCCATTCCATCAGAGTCAATCCAATTCCTTCCAGTTGTCAGACTTGATAGCATTCTGGAACCAAAGAGGGTGCTATAGCTAAAAAATGCAAGATTGAGGATGGAGTTGAGAAGTTAATTGAACAGTTTTTGTAAAGGTTCCATATAATTGAAAATCTAACTTTTGGAACTTTTAATCATGTTATATTGTCATTTCCTCATAAGAAACATGCCAAAGCAATTTTTAGCCTCATTCATGCATTTTCCTCCCATCTCAGCTTCAATTTGGTCTCCTCCCCCGAAGCGGGTCTGGTCTTGGTTCTCAAATCTGGATATTCTGTGAATTTTCTGACAAATTATTTCTGAAATGACTTCTACTGAGACACCGCCGAAAAACCATACAACCCATCTCAGAGACACACTGGGCAGCACAATTAGATGTAACGCCGCACGAGTTATAATAGATGTGGTGGTGTAGTGGTTATGGAGTCAGGTTAACATGCAGTTTTGCGCAGGTTCGCCTCCCATTACTGTAAGTTTTAGGTAGTGTACAACCTCTTTTCTTCATTTCTAGCTACACTTGCCAGTACTATGTTTACAACAATTTACTGGTATACAGTTTAACATATAATGACTAATGTGTTTTTTTTATTTATTTATTCGTTTATTTAGCCAGTGTGAGTCCATTTGTGAGCAGTTTCAACTAAAATGCTGTTTAGGAACGACCAAATTCAAAGAACTTTTACAGACATAAATATTTTGCTGAAAATAAACATTATAACTAAAATATAAACAAATTAAATGTTTCAGCTGGCTAAATAGATTGCTGACGACCCCACCAAGAATCGAACCAGCATCAGCTGAGGGGAAAGCAAATCTTAACTCAGACGATCTCGCCACTAGACTACCAAGGCCCAATCAAGACTTTGAAATGCTGTTATACACCATTTCTGTTAGACCGGCTGTGGGCAGATATTCGCTGAAAAAAGCCTTTTCATTTCGAGATATATTCAGTCTTTGTCATGTAGCAAGTTATATTTATCTTGTTTAATTGGAGCATAGAACATAGCATTAACGACTGTAAACTAGTAACAGCCGTAACTCATGTGGGTCAGGTCAGTTTGCGATAAAGTTGAAAACAAAAACGGAAGTCAGTGGGCTAGGCTGAGTTTGCGTGAATGGGCGGGGCTGACTCTGGTGCAGCTCCACCTTATGATGCAGCTCCGCCTTTGTGGTTCTGCAGCGAGCACCCTCTCAATTTGTGAGGTTCCATGCCACACTTTGGCTTGAGTTAGGAGATATGGACGCATTCTAGCCTGATCGGGTTGTGCTGCAGAGACAAAGATAACGTTCCCTCAGAGGGGTCCTTCGGGGTTAGGGATTGTGTGCCCTTCAGTTAGCCATTCATGGTGGGTCCCATTTTTTTAGCAGCTGGTTCTTGAAGACAAGATAAACAGTCCTCTACAAGAGAACCATCGTTCAATTTGAAAACCTGTTCAAAAGATTTGATTTGTTCTGGAATGTAATATAACTTATAGTCACCATGTACAGTAAGTGGCTTACAGTCACTCTTAGCAAAGTCCATGTGTAAAAGTTTAAGTGACTTACAGTGGCAAATTTCTAGAACAACTAACTTTACTTTCAATGAAAAAGTAAGTTGTGGTTACATGTGTAAAATAATAAGCTGCAGGCAGATGTTTTTGCAGTAAAGAATCCATAATAAATAAATGTTTTTTCCCCGCAGACAGCAATGAGTCCTGTCCTTTGGCCCTGTTCTATTCGTACATAGCAGGAGTCATTTTGTGAGTGAAATGTCTGTGGTTTGGTATGATATATCTGGGTTCAAGGATGCGCATCATAAAGCCAAATCTATCATTGTCAACAGTGCTGTACGGGCAAAGAACCTCGCAGATGCACACAGACATGGCATGTGTTACCAATGCAGCTTCAGTAAAATAAAAAGGGAACACTGCCAGAATAAAGTACTGCCTGACTGTGCGGGCAATCCAACAGCCAAAGCCTTTTCTCTGCATGTTCAGGCTGTGAATGTTCGTAGCATAACTTTGTGAGGCAGTTCTTGCATACTGCATAGTCTTAAAGTAAAGTAAACCCAACTTTAGTAAAGTTGCCAGTGCATTTTTCTTTCCCAGCTACGGGACTCCACCATATTGTCCCTTGTGTTTTTCTTCACATGGTGTTTTTAGCTCATTCTCATGAGAAACGCTCCCTAATGGACTAATAACAAAAACCGATGCAGGGAAAGAGTGTACTGGGACTCTGAGTTGAAATCGCAACACTTCACCAAATCAATATTTTGTCCCACCCTTAGTCCTTATCTTAAGAGTGAAAAGCAACCCAAGAAATAGAAAACAGGGTTTAGTCACTAAACCCTGTTTTTTATTTCTAAAACCTCCCAACTAATACTTTTAGAAGAAATTAAGCTTAGCCTACTAATGTTCCGTGTTGTTTACTTGCTATCTGCTTCTTCAAATCCCACTGATTCCAGGACATTTCCACCCTACAAGTGAGAGGAGCAGGTACCTGCTTGTAAAATGCAAAGGACGTCCGCCACCTCCTCCAGATACACGGGGCTTTCAAAGAGCTCAGATGACTTTAAGAAAAATTCTCCATTGGAATCCGTCACCTGAAGGAAAACAAAGGAACTTAAAACAGATGGAGCTCCAAAATAAGGATAGACCAATAGATATGTCAGCCCATATATGGAGCTGATATTTACAACTTTTAATACATCAGCATATTTACTCTCTAGAATAGAATAGAAAATCCCTGTGTGGTCCCTCAGCGGAGAAATGTTGTTGTCACAGTAGCAATTACATTAGCAAGTTGAGCAAAATAGGAGGATAAAAGTAACAAAGAATAAGAGTATTTAAAAATTAAAGAGTACAAAATACAGGAAAACATAACATATTTAAAAAGATTGAAAAAAAACTCAGTTATTGAGGATTCAGAATGCTGAAAACTGAAATATTTATATATGTATGTATGTATGTATGTATGTATATATATATATATATATATATATATATATATATACATATATATATACATATATATATATATATATACATATATGTGTATATATGTATATATATATATACATATATGTATATATATATATATATATACATATATGTGTATATATGTATATATATATACATATATGTATATATATATATATACACATATATGTGTATATATATATATATATATATATATATATATATATATATATATATGCAGTGTTGGGGAGAATACTTTGTAAATGTATGTAGTTACAGAATACTGAATACTTGCTTTAAAATGTATTCTGTAATGCATTCTGTTACTTTGTTTAATCCTGGTACTGTATTCAGAATACTTTCCCATAAAAACAGCATTTAGGTCTATTAAATGTCACAATATGTGTTGATAGCTACTCCCGCAGGAAAGCAGGGCATATTAATGCTAAATGTCATGTACCGACTGGGAAAAAAAAAAAACGATTTAATTATTTTTGTTACTTTATTTATCAAACAGTCAATAGAAAATATATTTCTGTTTCTGTGAGAAAGTGCTTGAACATTGCACAGCATTACTGTCTGCAAGAAAATGTAATCTAGACAAAACTCTTCTAAATAATTGGGACTGGCCAATACCAGCGCATTTATTTAGAAAAAAACAATGTATTATTTTTTTTTGTGTGTGTTTTGTAGTTTTTCCAAGATGGAATTGCAGACTGCCTCATCGACATACATCCAAAGCAGTTCAATCACAGCGCTCTATATGTTTGATGAGCCAATCATAGCACTCTACTGTAAATTGTAAGTCGCTTTAGATGAAAGCGTCTGCTAAATGAGTAAACATAAACATAAACATAAACACTGTCGGCCAAATGGGCAGGATATATCTGCAAGTTAGCAAACCAAGATGGCCGCTGCTCCGTAGTGGTTCAATCTAGGGCTGCAACAACGAATCGATAAATTCGATGAAAATCGATTACTAAAAGCGTTGGCAACGAATTGCGTCATCGATTCGTTGTGTCGCACAACTCTTCCAAAAGCGCACCCCCTTCCCGCCCGCCGTTGCGCACAGACAGATCAGCGCGAGAGAGAGCCGGCAGATCAGCGCGAGGGAGAGCCGGCAGGTGTTTGGAAGAGGAACATGGCAGAAGCAGCGAGAGTCAAAAAAGTAAAAGCTTTTTAAGTTTGGGAGCATTTTCAGTTAAATCAGGCGAAGACATGCGTTACCTGCAACGTTTAGGTCAGACTTAGCATGGCACGGGATGATGCAGCGTCTTAAACGCAAGCATGTCGGGATCATCAGCGAGGAAGGAGAGAACTCTGTGTCCGGGTAAATTAAAAACTTTTCAAAAGTGATTCATCCAAGTCCCGGATTATTACACAGGCTAGACAGGCCCTAAGCTCGTAAAAAAATAGTCTAAAGTCGTGAGCGCGACGCTTATTAGACTAGTGGGGGGGGGGGGGGGGGGGGACTCGCGCTGCTGCGAACCGGTTCCGCCCAAGGCCGGATTAACTGGGCAATTGCCCAGGGCCCACGAACTCTGAAGGGCCCAGGGCACGAGAAAAATACTGTATCTATAATTTCCCGCTTTATGAGGACTATGGTGACCGTACATTCCGTTTTCCCCGGACATGTCCACTTTTCACTCTCTGTCCGGCGCGTCCGGACTGCGGGTTCTTGTATTGATGAAAATGTCCGGCTTTTCATCCAGGAGCAGGGATCGAATTATGGGGGAACTGTATATCCTACACATCCGGGGAGCCGGAAAAAAGTTTTCTATATTTTATCATTTTTGGACTCTTTTGAGCAGAGAGCGGCACAGCGCGTTGTTGTGCAGCTCTCCAGGCTGCTGCGTCCAGCGCACGGTCCATTCTCAAAGTGGCGCAACCAAAAAACTATAATTAGCACACGATCGTTCATGTCTGCACATGTTCTCTATTTTTTGTCTTATTTGTGCCTGAAGCGCGCTACTGCGGAGCTCATCACCTGTGCTGCGGTGATTTCACCTGACGCAGCATCGAAAACGCGCTCTGTGCTTTGCGGTCAGGAGATCCCTTTGATCTGCTCAGAAGTAACTGATGAGGTGAAAAAGTAAGAATCCAGGCAGCAGTTTTTCTGGCGAATTAAGAGGAGATGCAGGAAGATGAGAGACAGACAGGACAGGAAAATAGTTAAAAACAACAAAACAAAGTGTTGAAAAGTAAAATGTAGGTAGATTTAGCTCCACTACACGTTTTTACCTATAAAACAATAAGTTACACACATGTAATATTTATAAATTTGATACTATTCAGGTCACCTTAAACACTCAGTCACACACCCAGGGCCGTTTCAAGACATTTTGGGGGCCAAGGCAAAATGCCCCCCCCCCCCCCCCCCCCCAACTGGGCTCCCCAGAAGCCTCTGTGTAATTCATACCCTCTCCAGTAATGTTAGTTATACAGTGTTTATAAAAGCCCCTCAGACATTACTGACATGTTCTAATATTATCAGATGAAAAACTAAATTATCAGACATGCTGTCTCATCTGCTTTTTTTCTAAACTTGCAGAAAGTAACAAAACCATTTGAAAGCCACTATTTGTGGATTCTCTGAAAGTTTCCATGGAGTGTGTGACAACTTATTTTTTCAGTCATTTTTGGAAATAGTGATCAATTTTGATTAATTCACAGCCTATGTTTAATTACATTAAAAAATTAGTTGTTTGACATCCCCAGTTATAATAAATGTCTACAGATGAGATCAAACAAAACAGATGAGAATTGCCCTTAAGCTGTTTAATTGGACCAAGCATTTTAGGTCACAGATAGGTGTAGCTTAGGGTCTCTGTCTATACACCTTATAAGACAATTTAGGTGATGGCATGTTGTTTTTCTGCTATTGAACTGTTTTCTAATAATGTTGTGTTATATAAAGTGAAGGAAGGAGAGAAATAACATTTCCCTAGCAGTTTTTAAAAATTTCCCCACGTAATCCAATTAATCGATTAATCGTGTCGAGACCCCATCCGATTCATCGATTATCCAAATAATCATTTGTTGCAGCCCTAGTTCAATCACAGCGTTGTTTTGGTTTGGTGGGTCAATCACAGCACTCTGTTGGTGGACGGATGTTACTGATATAAAGATAGCGGTGGATCATTTGAAACGGCTTTGGCATCAACTTTGGACTATTTTTGACTTAGGATTTTCTTTGACTCAAGGGGAGATGGATGGAGGTATTTAAGTTTATTTCGAAAAGGATGTATTTGCATCTTTTTTGACGGAGTAGGGCGGACCACATCGTTGACTTGACATCTGTAGCGGTGAGTACGTCTGGTTGTTTGGTATCCAATAGCATGAGGGGAAAGACTGTAGATCCCACCCCACGCTTAGAGCAGAGACTAGAAAGAGTATATATACATATACATATATATATATATATATACATATACATATATATATATATATATATATATATATATATATATATATATATACATATACATACATATATACATACATTTATATATGTATATATATATATATATATATATATATATATATATATACATACATACATATATATACACACACACACACACACACACACCACCCTTACCAGACTGAACTGACACCATCCAGCCCCAGCAAACCCCAACCATACCGACGCAAATGTGTAAGCGCCATGAGAGTGTGAATTTGGTGTCAACAACATTAAAGTATGGATTGATCCTGCCCTATATCAGCGGTTTAGGCTGGTGGTAGTAGTGTAATGGTGTGGGGGACATTTTCTTGGCACACTTTGTGCCCTTTAGCACTAATTGATCATCACTGCAACACCACAGCCTGTCTTGAGTATTGTTGCTGACCATGTCGATCCCTTTATGACCACAGTGTACCCATCTTCTGATGGCTACTTCCAGCAAGCTAATACTCTATGTCATAAAGCTTGAATCATCTCAGACTGGTTTCTTGAACATGACAATGAGTGACTGTACTCAAATGGCCTCCACGGAGGGGCGCTAGTGAGCCAGCAATGGAGTAAGATGCATAGTACGGAGCTGCGGTGCAATATTCGTATTGTGGGAATCGCAGAGGAAGCAGGCTCGAGCACCACTGTTTCAGTTTCCAAGATGTTGAAACAAGTTCTGCAGTTGGAGAAAGAGATCCTGATTGACCGCTCACACAGAGGTCTTGCACCAAAGAAGCCAAATGGCAAACCCCGGGTCATCATTGCAAAGTTACATTATTACCAAGATTGCTTGGATGTGCTTCGACGTGCTCGGGAACGCAGCCCGCTGCGTTACAGAAGGCAACCGGTTGCAATTTTTCCAGACTACACCGCAAGGGTTGCTAAGGCCCGTGCTGCGTTCGATGACGTCAGCAATATGCTGCGGGGCAATCGAGATGTCCATTATGGAATACTATTCCCTGCACGTCTCTGCATCTCATTCAAAGGGGACACCAGAGAATTTCAGAATCCGGAGAGGGCTATGGCCTACGTGAGGAGCACCATTGTGGCAGACGAACCCACGAGAAGATAATCATACTTTTCATCACGTTTTTATTATCAGAGATATCACCCTATTCCCTCCTGTTTTCTTTATCTGTTCTTTGTACACCCAATTGATGAGGAGGTGGGTTCAAAATGTATTTTCTTCAGACCCGAGCTTCACTGGTCACATTGAGGCTATAACTAGATCATCAGCATTTTATCATCTGCATCAAATAGCACGGCTCAGAGGTCTTATGTCCAGACAAGACCTAGAGAAACCCATTCATGCGTTCATCTACAGCAGTCTGGAATACTGCAGTCGTCTTTTGACTGGTATTCCCAAAAAAGCTGTGAAACAACTGCAGCTTGTTCAGATGCTGCTGCTAGAGTCTTAAAGGCCCAATGTGTGATATTTCATCTTATAAGTTATCAAATTTCTTGTATCACATTCTCAAATTTGTTTTTTTTAATGATAATTCAAACAAGCATTTATTCTAAGCATTATTATTAGCTTTATATTTTAATATTTTAGACAAAAGAAGCAGACCGGTGCTCCATATGGCATGCGCCATCTTAAAATACAGTGACCTTTTAGGGACATACAACATATTAAGCTTCGCATTTGATGTTTGCGTTTTTAAATGATGTAACCTCAAAGAAACAGCAGGGGGCAGAAGTGCGCCTTGTAAGCATGCAGTCTGACAAAGTAACTAAGAAGAAGAAGAAACTAGCCACACCGTACTTCTAGCGATGGAGGATCACACATATTCTACAAGCAAACTTGAGAAACGGGATAGTTTGAAAGCGCTTGAAAGCGCCGATCTTCTAGACTTTATTGCAGCTCTGCCTCTTCCTCTTGTGCGTGGGACGTTGCGGCTGGTTTGAGCAAATTCGGCTCCTTCATCTTGGGATGCTTGCCCTGCTTCTGTCGCATGTCTAACACCTCTGCCTCTCTGTGCGCTGGCACACGTCTGTCCTCTCCCTCTTCCTCTCCCTCTTCCTCGCCCTCTTCCTCTCCCTCGTCCTCTGTCTGTCTCCACTGATGAACCATCGGATGATATCTGACTCTGTTTACGGAGAGAAAACAATTACAGACTACACTACCTTGTATATTTCCAAAATGGCAAATAGAAATATAACATTTCTCAAATAAAATGAACAAAATATTGTCATTTTTTGTAGTCAGAAGTCATCACTAACTAGCTGCCGTTTGCTATTAGCAAACATAACTGACATAAAAACGTTTTTCTTATTCAAAACCTATTTAGATTAAATTAATAAGTTAGATGAAAACAACTAACCTGTTCGCTGACTTGAAAGCTGGAATTAGATGATGACATGCTGCCGTTTACAGCAACACGATTTTGTATTGTATTTGTTATATTTGTTAATAAAGTTTTAAATAATGATAAAAAAAACCTTTTTGATCCTCGGGGGCTCCAATAGCTGCAATACCGACTCTAAACTGCGTGGTGCTAAAGAGTCGGATCTTTTTACTATGATTTCTGTGAATTTCACACACGGGGCCTTTAACAAGAACCAAGAGAATCGAGCACATCACTCCTGTTCTTAAATCTCTACACTGGTTACCAGTAAACTACAGAATCCATTTCAAAGTATTTCTACTAGTTTATAAATCACTCAGTGGCATGGGGCCAGAACACATGTCAGATCTCCTTCAGGTTCTGAGTAGAACCTCGGGATAGAACCAAACAGAGTGAAGCTGCTTTTAGCTACCATACGGCACACAGATGGAATCAGCTTCCTCATGACTTCAAATGTGCCCCAACTCTAGAAACTTTTAAATCAAAATAAAAACCTTCATGTTTTCATCAGCCTTTAAGTAAATGTTCCTATGCTGCAACTTCTGCACTGTATTTGCTCACCCTTTAACTTTGTTTCTTTTCAATTTTTAAATTAAATTGATAGATCAAAAAAGGGGACGGTTCTTTAAGCCGCTAAAATTATTCCACAGAAAAATCCAGTCGATTCCCCATAGGATGGTCATTTAGCATGACCTCTTAGCTAGTCTGGCGGAACTGGTAAAAATAGTAAGTGAGTCCACTTTTAAGAGGTGATTGTTTATAAACTTTGACCAATCAGATCTGAGAAATGTGTAAAGATGTTTACCAGGACCCTCAGACGTCACACATTCCTCAAGCACTCAGAAGAGTCTGGTTCCACTTAATGTGAAATAAATCCGTTACACATTCATTTGTTAATATACTGATATTACTATGTGAATGCAACTGATAATAAATCATTATTAAATCATCAAGTAGACTCATTTAGTGTATTTAAGATCTGAAATTATAAACATTTATGTTGATTTACCTATTAAATCACTTTAGATAGAACATTCTTTGTAGATAAATATGATTGTAAACAACCTGTGGATTGAAATAAATCATTTAATGAGACCAAAATAATAATTTTATTCAAAGAGTAAAGTCTCGTCTTCTGAATGGACCTTGGAGTTGCAGCACATAAGTAAGGGGGAGAGGAATGTTACGGCTTACTCTTCCCAGTGGCGAGGTTAGAGAGGATAACTGGGAGACTGTTCTGTATGGAGGAACACACAATATTCCTGTCAGAAGAACTGCTGGACACTTGACTGCCTGTTGACCTCTGACATTGCTGTGGACAAATAACTTTGATGGACATCTCCAACACTACACAGGAAACCAACACACACAGACCAATATCTCTTGTGAGAGTAGCGCATCGCACACAAACCGACTCATTCGCAGACGAGAAAAAAACGGCAGTACTGGTTTTTCAAAGTAAAATTTATTTTAAAGTTTCATTATATTTAAATTAATTTTAAACTGTGATTATGGTTAGTATACGTGTGCAAATATAGACTATATATGTCTCGTATTTACATTGTTTTAATGTATATCCAAAAAATTAATTTATTCTGAAGGTACGTTGTTTTATTTTTTTATTTTTTTTTATCCTTCTGAAGGTGTGGCGGCTTTTATTTTGCCGTGGAGCAAAATACACATAGTGGAAACCCTGAATCGGCCATGAAATCAGCAGCACTTATCGGCTATCGGCTGACCACAACCGCCTCGTGTCGGTACCGGCAATAAAAAAAAACAATATCGGTCGACCTCTAGTCTGTATAGTGAAAGATAAAGATAGAAGTAAAAGATAGGGATTGTTGGTCCATAGCGCCCAGCTCTACCTGGATCACACACACACACACACACACACACACACACACACATACACACACACACACTTCTAGGGGAAACCCTGAAGGTTTTTACATATTTTCCTTAAACAATAGACCCCCGGGGGGGTTAGGGCTAGAGCTTATGTGACATGCTGCGGCGTGTGTAAGCACCTTGTTCATGATGACCAGCAGTTCGCTGAGGGTCAGGCGTAGCCTACGGAGGGGGTCGCTGTGTTCAAACTCCAAGGTGAGGCCATGTTGAAGCTGTGACACCAGGAAGCTCTCTCCATTGGAGCCGCCTCCCTTGTTTCTGGTGGGGCAGACACAATACTGTAACCACCAAGCACAATTATACATTGATGCTGTCCAATGTTTAACCAGATCATTGGTGCTACCTGAATTGCTGCTCCTTGCGTGCGTCCTGCTCCAGTGCGTGGAAGTCCACAGACAGAAGTGCTACGATGGAGTTGACAGCTTCCACTCCAGAAAGCAGCCGGAGAATGAGCTTCTTGTCTTGAGCCCAGGTGTGGCTCTGATCTGCAGGAGCACATAAGGCCATTCTCACCAGGCAGGGGAGTAGGAGCCGGAGCTCTGGATCACTGAGGGCCGCCAGGCGAACAACATCCACCTTCTGCATGGCTTCAAATGCAAAAGAACTGACAAACTGCAGCCCTGCGCTGTCTGCCATCTCTCTGCCTTTACCCTGTTTCACACACACACATTAAACCAAGTGAGCTCAGACTGTAGCTGAAACACTGACACACTAAGCTTTTTTTAAACTACTTTAGAGAGACTAGGACATCATTTTCTCATGAAAAACATCCCCGAAGCAGTTTTTGGGTTCACACGTGAACTTTCTCATCTCAGCTGCAGCTTCCTCTCACCAGAGCTTTTAAAACCAGCTGGATGGGGGAGGTTTCCGTCATTATGCCCCACTCCTCCACATCCAGGTAGTGTTGACTCTGGATTGCACCTCTCCTGGACTGTAAGCACAAACTCTGTGTGTAACTAGCAGAGAGTTTAATCTCCACAGTTTTGAAGAAGTTATTTATTTCTTATCTAGTCTTCCCTTTAAATGCTACCTATAACCCAGAAATAAAGATGTAGGGTTAGAAATGGTTGGATATATCTTCAGGACCTCTCAAAAACAAAGCATGTGTTTGTGACCATGATTTCTTAAACAACCACCAGTACCGGCGAGGCTTTTCAGACGATCACTTCTTTAAACCAGCACCGTTCTAAAGTTCTAACTAGCCGATGGAGAGGTTAGACCAGTGAGTAAAACCAGAGTGAGTTACTCTGTAGCTGTAGGCGGGCGGGCGAGTGTCAGGGACAGACCGGGACAATATTTCATCCCAGCTGCTTTTTCTCCGTCTGAATAGCATTTGTTTTTGCGTGTGTTGACGAGGATTTGCACTTAGCAAATGGGGAGTGGGTCATTTCAGTGTTCCCCCAACAAAGGTTCAACGCAGAGCCACGGCTATGATATCCACCCCCCACGAGTTAGCATCTCGTGACTCACTTTTCATAGTTTTTTTCTTAGTTAATACACAGCGTAGCAAAGTTATTACCTTCATCTGTTGACAGTTTCGGTGTCACACAGCTGCCATCTTAAGCGCCTCGCCCTGGGCGAAACTGTCAGCAGATGAAGGTATAAAATGTTGCTACTCTGTGTTTTAAACAAGAAAAAACTGGAAATCGAAAATAAACATAAAGGTGTATCTGAGGCTTTTCTCAGATCTAGGAAAACTGCTCTACATCACCACTGTCTATAGAGAACTGTGGCTAACATCTGGCTTTCCACATGTTCACACACACTTCTCCATGTGGGCGGGTCAAAGATGTGCAGAGAGGTCTTTACTGTCCTTTAGTTGGTAAACCAAGGCGACCATGATCAAGGTTGCTTTTGGAGACTTCTGATATGAAGCACGCTGCTTCCTACCCTCTCAGTGAGACTCTATAAAGAGCCATTTCGTTCCTGACTGATCCATCACTAGTGCTGAGTGTTGGTGGAAGACTACATCCTTGTGCAGGAAACTCGATTTTCTTCAGAAGGACAAGTGCATCTTGTTATTTTCTGTTGAGAGACTTCATTCATGTTTAACATTTTGGGAGTAAATGGAGTTTTCAAAGATGGGTCACAGTTTAAACACTAGTTCCCCGGACGTGCCATGGTCTGTTTAGCTAACTAGCTGTTAGCTATCTAGTACTTTTGATGCGAGTCTTAACATGCTAACAGGATGCTAATGCTAGCTGATGGAGATTATTACTCTTATCTGATACACTACGGGCTGCCTCCACTGACAAATGTTTCTAGTTAAAGTAATGTTTGAATTTAATATTACCTAACCCCGATAAACCGATTCGGTGCCTAACAGAGGAACGTGACCATCGAGGCCTTACCTCTGATTTGACCAGCCTGACCAGGTGTTCGAGATGAGCAGTATCATTTGGAATCGTAGGATGTCTAAGGAACATCCCGCCCTTCTCGCCTCTGATTGGCTGGAAGGGCTCTATTATGATTGGCTTTTTCAATTAGCATCAAACAAGGTCCCGCCTTTCTCGCCTCTGATTGGTTGGAAGGGGCTCCCCTACGATTGGTTATTTCATTTAAGAGGACGCTGTATTCCCTCGCTGCAGGTTTTTATGTTTACAGCCAGATCTTGAGGAGTTTTGAAGAAAATGTGAACTCATCGCTATAATAAACATCCTTTCCTATTTAGCAACAAACCAGTTTCAGTTTCTTTCATAAAAGAACCTGAAAGACATCAAATGTGAACTTGTAATAAATCTTGTTGCATTTTATCACAATGTAGACTGACGTTTTATCTCTTGGCTCGTTTGGGGTTATCTTATTACTTAATTATTAGGCTGTCCTAGGTTAAGGCTGTTAACACGTTAGATCATATCTCTCATCTTCAGATTAAATGTGTATCGTTTTATCAAAAATTAAGTTAAAGCTGATTATGATTTAGACCAATTTTTCACCATTTTCCATTATTCTATAAAAGAAACAGACCTGATGCACGCAGCTGGGCAGAATATGGCAGTTTTGTTAAATTTCATACCCAGGTAAGGCACATATGTTTATCCTATGTACTCTAATGCTTCAGAGCCAAGAGATATAAAGTCCAACAGTTTGATTTATTCAACAAGATTATAAATTCACATTTTACGTTTTTCAGTTTTTTATGAAACAAAACAGGACAGAATGGTTATTATTATGGTGTATTCAATGGACTGAGTTTGTTATCTTGCCTTAGCTGATGTTCTTTGGTGGCAGGGGTTGATGACGTCAAGACTGGGAGACAGGGTGTTTTGTTCAATAAAGTTTGAGCTTGTAGTAAAGGCACTAGTGATGTGTCGGTCGCGAACGAACCGGCTCTAAGAGCCGGCTCTTTGAAGTGAACGACGGGAGCCGGCTCGTCATTGGGAGCCGTCCCCCCCCCCCCCCCCCTCCCCTTTTGCTTTGGTGAAAGCCACAGGTGATTGGTCAAGATGTGTAACTGCGTGTCCAGACTGTCCACACACAGAGCAGTAGGGGTGGGGAAGAGGGAGGATAAGACTCAGACACACAGCAGAGCACATGCGGGCGGAGGGAGACGAGAGGGAATGAGGAGGAGGAAAATGGCGAGAGAGAGAGAGAGAGAGAGGAGAGTGTGACGAAGACGGTGAGAAAATGAGCGCCAGCAGTCGGAAAGTGGAGATTTCTGAAAGTGTTCAGTTATTAAATCCATAGAAATGATAAATATTTGATATATAGAATTTTTTAAATTTAGTAAATCATTTTACACATAGTTTTGCATTATTTTGGTTATAAATGTACTCTACGCAACTGAAAATCTGAGGAGCCACTTGGGAGCCGAAAGAGCCGGCTCTTTTTGGTGAGCTGAGCCAAAAGAACCGGCTCTCTAAAAAGAGCCATAATTCCCATCACTAAAAGGCACACAGTTATCCTGCGTCTTCTTGTTAAAGCAAAACAACACGACAATTATAACGCCAAGTTCACATTTTCTTTACTAAACTCCCCAAAACAGCTTTCTGCTGGTAGGACAGCCGATTTGCTGCTGAATGAAACAGACAATCGTAGTAGAGCCTTTCTAGCCAATCAGAGGCAAGAAAGGCGGGATCTGCCTTGAACGTCCTAGGATTCCAAATGACGCTCCACGCGTGGCCTCTGACGAGCGGTGGCGCCGCCACCTTGGATCGGTCAGAGACATTGAAATGTCAGCATGTTAAATCAACCATAACTCCTTGAATTCTCAACCGAATGTGATGTTTTTCCCTGCAAACTTTACACATGTAGCCCTGATACAGGACACATGTTTTAACATTTTTAATAACAATGGGTTTTCTGTGGGTGCGTATGTGACTCTTATTTAGAGCTTAGTGTCAACATCTATAGAAAAAAAACAATCACTAAAAATCAGTTAAACAATGAGAAGAAAAATAAATTAAAAACGTTCATACAACAAGTGTTTGTGTAATTCATATACATATAGTGTCAATATAATTCAAAGAGAGGGTGAGAGAGAACAATTAGAACAAAGTCTGGATGACAAGAACACGACAAACCATCAATCTCTGTCCCTTTCTGCAGATATAAAAGCAGGTTCTTGTTCATCCTTCATTGTTTATTTTTGTGAAATCTCCCCCATCTCTTCCTCACGCTTCTTCCTCAAATCTTTTGTGGGAAACCTACAAAACCAAACATGAGATTTGCAGATTAGTGTCTACACAACATTGTACAAAAGAGGTCAATGCTATTTTCTTCGTTCCTCTTGTTATTCCTACTCTTCGGTTTATTTCTTCCTTAAATATTCTTATAATCTTTCTTTAACCCAAAACGGCATTTCTAATGATAATGAACCAAAACTCTTCAAAGAGTGAAACCAGAAAACGTCTCTTCAGCATGTTAGCATGTTAGCTTTTTAACTAACTTTCCAGTCAGAGAGGAGGGTCAGAGACATGAGATCTATCTGATACCAGGAAGATTAATTTGGTTCTACAGCAGCATTCTTGTTTCAACTCTAACATAAGTCAGTATTTAGGAATAAATGATTAATGAAGTCTCATTTAGCTTCATTGTCAGCTCGACCCATCTAAGATGGCAACTGCATTTCCTGCACCCGAGTGTCCAATAGGGTGCAGACTGCCCTCCTCGTGAACATGTATATAAACACTAGATGGAGGCCCAATCTCAACACTCGCACTTGCACCCTTCATTTGCGCGTTCCCGGCCAGGGGTGCGAGTGTGTTTGGTGTCCCGATTCTCAAGTGCGGAAGTTGACCACGCCCCATTACACTCTTAATCTGCACATCACCCAAGTCCGCAGTGATGCGGACCTCGGGCAAGGGTATTACCCACAAGTCATTGCTGCAGGAGAAAAGGCTCAAGTTCTTTTTCTGAAATTATGTATTTTCTCATGAAATTAGTTTATTTTAGGATAATTAGTTGATACTCTGAATGTTTTAGACAAAACAGCATTGAAGTAAAATTTATTTCAAATCATTTCTTTATTGTTTGTTTGAAAGTTGTTAAAAAAGGTTTTTGAAAAAAGTTTCACAGCGACCAGCATCTCGGCGTGCATTGCTATCGATGACAATGCTCCCTGTCGGGGTCAGTGAGCTCTTTTGAAAATTCACCAGGAAACCCAGATTCTGGATGTGAGACAAGACCTGCTGTAGTTGATCTGCCGCTTTTTCTCTGTGTAGTGCAGGGGTGGGCAATTATTTTTTCCATGGGGCCACATGAGAAACAGAAAATATTGTGGAGGGCCAGGCCAAAAGGCATAATTTTAATGGTATTTCTTTATAAAAAAGCAGTAAATATCATTGTTTTTTCAAGCTGGTAAGAGTAGACTATATGTTATAAATGAGCAAAAAGGAAAAAGTGAGGTTGGCTTACAAAAATGTGTGTCATGAGCTGGGGTGAGTACTCTCTTTCTTTTAACCATCTGTGAGACTCTTGCCAGGAGAGGGAGTGGCCCAGCTGTTCCTGATCAGCAATCAGTGGGGTGTTTTCCTATTTAAGGTGGATGGAGGACACAGTTCGACGCCGGAAGATTGCCTCAGCTTGGTAGTAGCCAGCCACTCGATCTCTAGTATTTCTTGGATTAATGTTGTTCGTAGTGTTTAGCTCTTAGTATTTTTGGATGTTGACCTTTCTTGCTTCGCCTGGAACTGATTTGGATTTTTACCCTTCTTCAGGATTCCTGTCGGCCTCTTTGGATACTTACCTCTACCCCAGGACTTGGATATTCAGCACGCGGACCATATCACCAACCTCCATAACCCACCTCTCATCTCAACCCAGTGCCCCATCCACCAGGACGCCCCGCTTCTTTCCACCTATGCTCTCCTGCGCTTCCCCCCGGCTCTCTACCTCTCCCTCCTCCAGCCAACATCTACACGCCCCACAGTAAGTTCTGCTGAACTCCTCTGCCTACAATGGACTTCTGAATCAGAACCTATGGATTCAGATGATGACGCCAGCTCTAATGTCCGAGGCATCCACCCCGACTATGAAGGGCTTTGTAGGATCCAGCTGGAGCAGGACGGGAGCCAAAGAGAAGAGGCGAACGAGGTGCTGTAAGGTTCTTTCCGCCTCTGGGGTCAGTTGGAAAGGCTAAGGTTGATTTTCGGTCTTGGTGAGGGAAGTGAGAGGGGCCGCGACGGCACTGTAGTTCTGGATGAAGCACCGATAGAAATTGGCAAACCCCAGGAAGCTCCGCAGCTGTCTGAGACTGTTGAGAGGAGGCCAGTTGGAGACAACCTGGACCTTTTGGGGATCCATCAGTAGTCGCCCGGAGGAGATGACAAACCCCAGGAAAGAGATGGTGGATTGGTTGAAGGCGCACTTCCCCAGTTTGCAGAACACATTGTTCACCAGAAGGCGGGTGAGAACGGCTCGGACATGCTGGATGTGGTCCTCGGCATGGGAGGAGTAGATGAGGATGTCTAAGCAAAGATCCATCGACCCAACATGTCCCACAGAGTGTCATTAATAAGGCGCTGGAAGACCGCCGGGCTGTTGCAGAGGCCGAAGGGCATGACCTGATATTCCCAATAGCCCGTAGGGGTGATGAAAGCAGTCTTCCACTCCTCCTTCATTCGGAGCAGGTGATAGGCATTCCGAAGGTCCAGTTTAGTGAAGATGGAGGCTCGGGTGAGGGAGTCCAGTGCAGTGTTCATCAGGGGAAGTGGATGACAATCCTTCACCGTGATTCCGTGGGGCGACGGTGGCACAGGAGTTAAGTGCTCGCCTCGCAATCGGAAGGTCGCAGGTTCGAGACCCGCTCAGTCTGTCGCTGTCGTTGTGTCCTTGGGCAAGACACTTAACCCACGTTGCCTGCTGGTGGTGGTCGGAGGGACCGGTGGCGCCAGTGCTCGGCAGCCTCGCCTCTGTCAGTGCGCCCCAGGGCAGCTGTGGCTACACTGTAGCTCATCCCCACCAGTGTGTGAATGTGTGTGTGAATGGGTGAATGACTGATTGTGTTG